AGGTGGTGATGTGGGCATTCCAGGTGGGACAATGCTACCAGCAGGAATTTAGAGACCAGCCATGGGTAGAGGGAACGATTCCCACAGGACAGTCAAACATGACCTTGATTTTTACATTTTAAAGGGTGTAGGGAGACTCTCTCCTACCTGCCTGTAACTTCTAAGGACTCCAGCTCTGTTTCAAAGATGCTTGAAACCATCAGCAAATACTGGACCAACCAGGAGTTCACGTTGTCCTCATTACTTCCTACAAAAATAATTTAAAAATTTAGGGGCCAGCCCCGTGGCCAAGTGGTTAAGTTCTCGAGCTCCACTGTGGCAGCCCAGGGTTTCGCCATTTCAGATCCTGGGTGCAGACGTAGCATCACTCATCAGGCCACATTGAGGCGGCATCCCACATGCCACAACTAAAAGGACCCATAACTAAGATATACAACTATGTATGGAGGGGGTGAGGTTTGGGGAGATAAAGTAGGGACAAAAAATTTAAAAATTTAAATGTCACTAAAGATATTATAACACTCTGATAAAACTGCTTTTTAGTTTTGTTTTTGTTGCTCTGTTTTTATAAGTAGTGTTATTCACTCGTGCAAAACTGAATTCATGGGGGAATTTTTTAAGGCAGAGCTTTCAATGATTCATCTTTTGTATGGCGCTTAAATGCCCCAGGTCATGAACCTGCTCCGTCTCTCCTTTCTTTTGCCATACTAACACCAGGAGCTGTACGGTCTATTTAAGTAGTCTGATTGGCCCTGGAAAAATGAACACTTGTTTTTATTTTCTTCATTATTCTCCACTACAACTCCGTGAACCTGAAATGCTAAATTTGGGAGATGCTACATACAAACCTGGACTTTTGCAAAGTAGTCTATCCTTATCCATCCGTTATCAACATTTCCAGGGAGACAGGGATTAAGCTGGGCCAGCCCTCTCTGTCGTTGGGGCTGCAGTGTTCATTCTGCACCTGCTCTGGAAACAGTGTGGTATGCAGGAAAGGGGGGAAGTAGGAGTGACCCAAGACTAAACTCTTAAAAACTCTGGGTCTCAATTTCCTTATCCATAAAACGGAGAAAATGATACCTTCTCTGCCCACCTTAAAGGACAAGCGTAAGACACACACGTGCGCTTACCTGTCCCTCCCACTGCCTGTGCCCTCCTACAGACCATGGCCCCAGGCCTTGTCTGCTGCGCCCCGAAAGGAAGGCCTAGTGGTCATTTTCACAGCTTCCTGGCGGACTGCTCCCTGGACCACCTCGTACGGCAGCTCAGATTCTTGAACAACACAGGTTGTGCCAGAACTTTTTCAGAGCCCATGTGTAAATCAAGCATTTTTCAGAAGCTGTGTTCATTTTCTGTTATGTCTGAGCATGACTGCCCATTAATAACAGGCTGAAAGAGATTCCGAGGCTCTACATCCCTCTCAGGGAGATACTAAGTTACTCAGTCAGCTAACAGCACTTCTCAGATGGAGTTTCTGTGGGGAATGGGAGACGTAGGCCCTGTGACCCGAACGCATCGGGGCTTCTGAAGCACTCAGGTCCCAAAGGACTCACTGCTCGCAGCCTTGCAGAAGCTGTGCTATGGGGCAAGCATCCCACCCCAGCTCGGGAGCCGCAGGGACGGTGAGGGCCTCGCCTGCCCTGCTGATGGCGGTCCCTGGATGGCTTCAGATCTCTTTCCTTTAGTTCTCCCACGATTGGGTTCTCTGCTTCTCACCAGTGTTCTGAAAAGAGCAGGACCTGTTTTAAATCAGAATGGCCCTTAGCAAACCAGGGACATGGAGATCTCAGACATATTTCACATTGAGGAGTTGTCCATAAGGACCTCCCAAGAGATGGGAAGATGCTGACCTTCCAGAGTCTCATTGGGTCATCTGGAGACTGTCCTAAGCTTTGGATGCAGCGTCTCCTCATTTGCTGTTTTCTGCCATCAGGAAAGGTTGAGAAGGCTGCTCTAGGCCGAACATTGCAGCCCAGCGCGTTCAGACTTGCTCCATCCTGTTATTGATTGGAAAGAACTCACCCCAGGGCTCCCACAGTCCCCACCCTGACATTCTCCTGCTTCCTCTTCAAGAAGAACGATTCCATCCTGATGCTTCCTTCTTGTCTTTGGATAGTTCTAGGCCTGGTTTCCTCATGCGATTCTCTACCTGGATCACACACCTTGAATATTACCCAGAAACCTCTTCTCTATTCTCGTGCACCCCTTCCCTTGCCTTTCTCTCTGGAAGATGTGCTTGACTCTGAGACGTTTCCCTCATTGCATTACACGAATGGAGAAGTGGAGGGAGCTCGTGTTCATTGTGCTCCTTCCAGCGGCCGCACAGTGAGGTTCTGCATGCACGTCGACTCATTCATCCTGCACAACATCCCTGTAGAACACTGTAAAGTCAGAGGATTTAAAAACTCTGTTACAGTCGACAGCTTTTACGTGGCATCATCAGCTACTATGGTAGAGTTGGGATTTGAACCCATGAACTCCTGGTGCCAAAACCACGGCCTTTTCCAGTAGAGTCCATGCCTCCCAAACCAGACCAGCCCTTTCTGCACACTGCCAGTCCCTTCCCTGTACACCCGCGTCATAACTGATGTCTCCTGATGGTTCAGGTTGTTCCCAAAAGTTACTATATATTTCATACTGATGCGGGGTCGGTGAGCCAAGGAGTCGAAAGAAAGATTTCTTAGACTCTTAAGATCTGGCAGTAGTGCTCTTTTATTTAGAGAATAGTGTAGCATGGGGACAAGGAGCCATGGGCAGTCAGAGCTTCTGCTGCCGCCGCTTCTGCTGCCCCCGCTGGCACGAGGACAGGGCCCATGGGCAGGCAGAGCAGCTGCTGCTGCTCCCGCTGGTATGGGGACAGGACCAATGGGCAGGCAGAGCTGGTGTGTGGGGACAAGACCCACAGGCAGTCAGAGCTCCTGCTGCTGCCCCAAGTTGAGGGTTAGAGCTAAATTTAAGGCATAGGTATATGATTCATCTCTTTACAAGACAAAGGAAAGAACAAAAAAAAGTTAACATGGTATCAGTGCAGGTGGGGTCTGGTCGTTGGGTGATCCCATGACTTTTAGACAAGAATCAAATTGGATTAAGTAAAGGTTAGAAAGGTTAGACGCCACCACCCTAAACCAGTTACATGAGATTGCCAGACAGCAACCAACTTAAGTTCTTGCCTTCCCCATTAAGAGTTTCTAGGGACAAGGTCATCTCTCTTCTTCTTCCTGGTACAGAGAGGGAGGCACCTTTTACAGATAGAGATTTACCTTACAAATGTAAATGTGTCCCAACAAGGGCAAGTTCCATTCCCCAGAGCCTCCTTCCCTGTCCCAGTTTATCGAAAGCAATCAGCCCAAAACAATCCTGATGCCAAAGAGACATATCCTGGAGTGGCCAATTTCAGGTCCTGACAAGGTCATCCCCCCTTCCTTCACAAACGCAAATGTCTCAAAAGGGCAAGCAAAATTCCAGTCCTGGGAGCCTGCTTCTCATCTGCAGTTTTAAAAGTAACCAGCCTAAAAATCCTCATCATAAACCATTTTAAAATTAAGCAGCCTAAAAATCCTCATCAATACCAAGTCTTTTCTTCTTCTTCTTCTTTTTTTTTTTTTTTTTGAGGAATATTAGCCCTGAGCTAATGTCTGCTGCCAATCCTCCTCTTTTTGCTGAGGAAGACTGGCCCTGAGCTAACATCCATGCCCATCTTCCTCTACTTTATATGTGGGACGCCTACCACAGCATGGCTTGCCAAGCGATGGCATCGCTGCACCCAGGATCCGAACCGGCAAACCCTGGCCACCAAAGTGGAACGTGCGAACTTAACCGCTGCACCACGGGGCAGGCCCCCCAAGTCTTTTCTTCTAATCAAAAATAAGGTCAAATTAAAATGAGATTAGACTAGAATCAGTCTTTTAAAAATAAAAGTTAAAGAAAGGCAGTCTTTCATTACCACTTTGGGGGGAGAAGAGTTGCTGTTTCTCCAAATTCAACAGTGTCAGTAAATTGAGATTTTCAAATGGTGTGGGGTTGACATATACTCTAGGGCCCGAGTTTCAATGTTGCATTTGTTTTCCAGTAAAAGAGCTCAGCATAAAATGCAGCGAAGAGTGAGGTTTTGTTTAGGTTTTTTGCATAATAAAAGTCGTAACTGAGCAACATTAGCTCCAGACTCTCCTCCCCATGAATCCCTGGAGACTCTGGGAAAAGCATTTCAGAGACATCCAAACCCCAAGTAGTCGTTGGCAAGGGGTAATTTGCCACGATGATAGTTAAATAAGGAGAATACTGAGTAGCTGCCTACAAAGAAGCATCTGAAAATGAAACTAGCGGTGGCTCAAGTCCCTCCATTGAAAATGTATATACATTTCTCCACGCCGCAGCCCACATTGGTCTCTTCCTTTTATAAGGCAAATTTGTCAGTGCATACCAAGAAGCTTAAATCATACCCTTTGGACCCAATAATCTCACTCCTGAGAATTTATCTCAAGGAATAAATTATAAGGAAAACTATACATATTTCTATAGCAGTGTTTTTTATAATAAGCAGAAAACTGGAAACAACCTAATTTTCCAGTAACAAGGAAATGCTTCGTGCATTTTGCTATCTTAATTCTTTGAGATACTATGCTGCTGTTAAGAACACAGTCACAGCGGGCGAATAAGGAAAAGGGTGTCCAGTGAAAAGCACAGAAATGCAAATAAGCAGCGTTGCAGACGTGCAGAAATACCCATGTTGATGAAGACTAGGAGGGAGACAGATGAAACAGCTATGTTAGCACTGTGAGATTACAAGTTTTACACACTAAAATTTTCTTTTGTAGTGACCATATTCAGTTTTTAGGAATTTTCTTATTTTTCCTGCTGCAACTTATATCGAGTCATATTTCATAGTTATTTTTGGATCAGAACATTATTCTACAAAGGGTACGCGTGGAATATTCTAGCTAAGTGTGCAATATGGAGAAGAACTAATTCACAAACACTGACGCTGTTGTTTTAATTTGCAGTGAGGGGAATTTGGCTACAAAGCAGGTCGTGTTCCTGCAGAGACCAGCTATGTGGAATTCAGCGGCCCTGACCCCAGAAGTGAGTAAATCCGTGCCTCACGAACTGCATGTTATATTGAAGCGTTTAAACTCTCGTTGTGATTGTAATGGTGAGCACAGATGAGGAAGTGTGCACTCGATGTGGGAACAATCTTCTAACCGACATACAAGGAGGTGTGCCAGCAAGTGGATAACATGAGACAGTTCTGAAGGGAAGCCCGTTCTTTTGAGCTGAAGGCAATTAAGAAACAGCAGACACAGGAGGAACTGTCTACCCTGTCCCTTTCCAACACAAAGCAGGGCATAAATTTCCCTTTTTAAAGTTGACGTGAATTTCCCTTGTAAAGTGGTCTCCCTTTCCTGTACCAGGAGGAGAAGACTTTTAATCACCAGAGATGACTCTTATCCCTGGAGATGGCACTGACTTGAGTCCACATGAACAAACCTTACTAAAATAACTCTTATTTTCCATTAGTTTTACCATATACTTATCTTCCCACAATTTACTGCCATAGAAGCTCAAACCCCTTTCCCTTTGTCTAGTCACTTCTCCACAATTTATCGCCCTTTGTTAAAATGATATATAAGCTCTCAAGTCTAACTGCCTTCTCTGTGAAGGCCCTATGTGCCTTCAAAATAAACCTTTTCTCCTGTCTTTTGGCAGTTTGATTTGCAGGGCTCAGGTACTAAACATAAGAGGACAGAGGAGAACTTTGTTCCTCCCCTACACTTCTAAGCCTTGTAAGTGAACTTGCCTAATATTGCAACAGATCTGTGCAATTTTCTCTATCTTGACCTCCAACGGCACTTTTATATTGTTCCTCAAGTTCATATTTTTTCAGCCCTTTGCTGAAGGGCTGTGCTGAACCTCAAGTCACCTTATTCTTACTGGATGCACAGCTAGAATAGTATCTTTGAATGGAGCAATCTGGGCGTTAATAAAGCACAACTTTCAAAATAGGAAATTTGCAAATGGACTGGAAAATTATTTAAAGTGATTCTTTTTCTGTATTTCAACAAAATGTTGTTTTAGAAAACTTTAAGTTTTTCTAAACTAGCAAAGCTAGACTGAGAGTATATGCAATACCACCATGCTAAGTCATCTCACATTAATTTTGGAAAGAGTGTAGCTGCCTCACTAGGTAAATAGGTAGAGAGTAGGCGGGGAGATAGGAAGGTGCCTCCTCCTGCGGGAGAGCAGAGATCAAGTGCACAGATACTGGAAAGACTCTGATTCGAGTTAGAGCCCACGGGGCTGCAGCGCCCCCAGCCCCCGGGAGCAGTTCATTAAGAAATATTCTGTCAAGAAGGAGCAAGGGTGGGTACATGCAGAGAATGGCCAGAAAAGGTTTTCATTCTACTTTCTCCTTCCCCAAAGTAGCTTCTCACCATGCTACAGCCTCTCCTTTCTTTCTTTCAACATTCTGCAAATGGCCATCATTTCTGAGGAAAGGTCAGCAGAAGCCACAGCCTCATGGCATTTTTGATTAACTGGGGGCCATGGAGTTGGTGTTTGCTAAGATATCAGACCCAAATTCAGCTGCTTCACGGTCTCCTTTACTCAGGATTAGATATCGGTTCCCTGATTCCCTGAGAATATTTACACCCTTTTTGTGCAACTTTAAATACCATCCAGTAGTCTCATGGTAGTTTTCCTTTGGGTAATCTTTATATTTACAGCCATTGTGAATAAAATTGCTGGCTCATTATATAATAGTAAGGAAGTATATAAATGTCAACTGTGTCAATGAGAAGTCCAGGAATAATGTACTTTACAGCTTAGAATTCTGCTTCTAAACGGATTTACTATTTCTTCCTTTGACTAACATTTAGTTTTCCTAGCAGGAAATCGCAGGACATTGAGATTATTTCAGGGCAGACCATGTGGGTGGTTCAGTCTGGAGCTGAAGTGTCTAACAGCTATAACTGAAAACCAGTTTTTCAATTCTTTAAGTTTTCTCTGGTGAAAACAATTGTCATTTTATATCAAAAAAGTAGTAGTAGTATTGGGAAAGGAGACTATTATTATGACGATAGTGTTAATTGGGCTATCTCACATGTATTTTGTGAAAGTTACATTTATAATATGCGTTGAAAGTGTATGTAGTTGTAGGTCCATATAGCACGGTTCTTTGCTTGTACCTTGAAATCAGTCGTTGTTTGGGAGGAGTTGATGGGAGAATTGCTTCATTTATAAACGTTTTTAAAGAATTTTTTCAAAGGTGTTTAGTTCTAAAATAAGTTGGTGGAAATCTGAGACGTTACACGCGTTGCCCTGGGGTTGTCCATGAGTTTCCATTACAGCCCACATTTCATGAGCTGGTAGAAACCTATCCAGAGTTTAACCCTTGAAAAGAAGTTTCTCTCTTTCTTCTACTGAGACTAATGTCAAGATACGTGAGACTTTCCATATCCAATTGCACTCAACATAGAGCAGGATTTTTATTTTGAACGAAGCCATTTCCTGCCCCTGTTGTGGTGGAGGGAATTGAGAATTGCATAATGAAGAAAGCATATTGTTGGAATTTTTCTTCTGAGGTTATCAAGACCTTTACTTTCGCAATTTTGTTTTATATTTCACAGATATGTTTTATGCAATATTCTAGATGGCTTCAGAATTTTTTTAAACGTGGAAAATATCAAGTCAGAGTACTTATACTCTCATTTACTCCCCGAATTTTCTTTAAGCTATTAAAAGATAGTTTGTTTTAGTAAATCTAGAAAACTTTTAGAAAAAAAAACAGGAGAAAATCTTCATGAACTGGGGCTAGGCAAAGAGTTTTTAGACATGACACCAAAAGCGTACTCCATAAAAAAATTAATAAACTGTACTTCATCAAAATTAAAAACTTTTGATCTGCGAGTAACACTAAGAAAATGAAAAGACTAGCCACAGACTGGGAGAAAAAACACTTGCAAATCACATATATGACAAAGGACGTATATCCAGAATGTATCAAGAATTCTCAAAACTCAACAATAAGAAAACAGACAACCCTGTTAAAAGGTGTGGACACCTCACCAATGAGGATGTGTCAATGAGAAATGAGCCCTAAAAAGCTGCTTTCATCGTTAGCCATTAGGGAAATGCGAATGAGAACCACAATGAGATCCCACCATACACCTATTAGAACAACTAAAGTAAGAAATATTGACAAGACCAAGAACTGGCAAGGATGAGGAGCAACCAGAACTCTCAACAAGGCCGGGGGCCAATGCAAAATGGGACAGCCACTCTGCAATATACTTTAGCTGCTTCTTAGGAGGTTGAACATATGCATACCATATGACTCAGCAATCCCAGCCTTGGATATTTACCCTAGAGAACGAAAAACTTGTGTTCACACAAAAACCTAGATGTAAAGGTTTGTCGCAGTTCTAGTCACAATCTCCAAACCTGGAAACAATCCAGATGACTTCAGCAGGTGACTAGATGAACAGCTGTGGTACGTCCATACAGTAAAATACTACTCAGAAATAAAAAGGAGTGAACTACTGATACACACAGTAAGCTTGCGTTAATCTCAGAAGCATGCTGGTTAAAAGAAGCCGGTCTCCAAGGGTTACAGACTGTGCTATCCCATTTTATGACATTCTCAAAAGACAAAACCAGAGTGTGGAGAACACATCAGTGGTCGTCAGGGATCAGGGGTTCGGGGGGATAATGGAACTGTTCTGTGTCCTCATTATGGTTACCCAGATCTATACCTCTGTGTTAGAATTCATAGAACTGTACACTTTGACTGTATGATAATTTAAGAGTTAGATTTAGAAGATGGTTTGCGTTATAAATTACAGAGACTGCATGGTTTATGTCTTTGTCCTTCGGTAGGGCTGTGCTTGGGGAAGGGAGTTCTTACCACGTGCAATGAGTTGTTGCCCTTCGCTTCCTCTACTTGAGGCTGTATGGTGTAATAAAGGGGGTTCTTCTTATCTTGCTCTTCCTTTTTTCTATTTTCGTTTTTCTTTATTTTTTGTGGGGGGAGGGCCCTCCCAATGGATTCAAGGAATTGACAGCGATGCTGAGCAGAGTGAGGGACTCTGACCAGGACTTCACCTCCATCTAGTGAATCTTCTCGATTGTTCTTCCAAGATCTCCTTTCGTAACTTTTTTCTTTCTTTTGAAGACTCAAAGAAAACTCATTGAATTTTTTATTGACTAAAAGTCTCTATTTCAGTTAAATTCTTCAACCCGTTTCCCTTTGATAATTATTTAAAAGAAACAAAAGGTCATTAAAAGTATTTCGTTTTCGCCAACTCAGATTAGGGTTTCCATCCAGGGGTATTCTTGGGAGTAGACAACCAACCATGAAAGGTGCTCCAGGGGTGTGTGCATGTGTGTGCATGTGTGCTAGTGCGCTAACAGCATCTGCCACGCTCTCAAGACTCCGTGGCCCCATCTGTAAAATAAGGACAACATTAGCACCTGCCACAGGGCTGTGAGGAGGATTCAGGCAGAAAACACATGGCAGGCTCGGCACGGTGCCTGCTCAGATGGAATGTTGCTATTATTTTCGTAAGAATGTTTTTCTTTCAATAGTAGATGATTAAACACTACTAACTCTATGGAGAAACTGAAGAAAAATCCAGAACTTCCTCCTGACCCTCCGTTTTCTCCAGCTAAAAATTACCTTCAGCCAGTATGTAGGAATGTAGTGTATTGATGTTTTTTGATGTTCAAAAAAATGCACATACACGTACATATATAAAGCTAATATGGCAAAATATTAACAAGTATTGAATTAGGTAGTAGGTATATGGGTGTTCATTGTACTATCCTTTAAAGTTTTTCATAATTGGAAAGTTGGGGAAAATTAAACTAAAAAGCATTAGTGCCCAACAAGTTTTTTCTGTTAGTTATTACTTGGTAACTAATTAGTTACTAAGATGCTATACCAAAAAGACTCACATAGAATGATTTAAATACAACAGAAGGGTTTCTCTCATCACAGGCTAAAGATGGGCAGGTAGTCTTGGTGGGCAAGGCTCTGCTTCATGACTGCTCTGCTCTGCCACCCTCAACACTTGGCTTCTGCCTCTGGACCCAGGGCTGCTGCCACACTTGTCACCACTGTCCAGCCAGCACAAGTAGGAAAGAGGAATTCCAGACATGCCTCTGAGGCACTGACCCCCAAGTCACACACATGCTTCTTCTCACATCCCATTGGCTGCAACTTTTTTATGTCACCACAGCATCTGCAAGGGAGGCTGGGAAATGTAATCTGGGCAACCATGTGCTGGTACCTCAGTGAAAGAGCACATGCCCAGCTAAAAATTTTGAGGCATTGGTTGTGGGGGAGTTCCATTATTAACAGAAAGACGGAGAGAATAGACCCTGGGAGACAGGTGTTCAATTTTAATGGTTCCAATTTTATATTTTTTGTCATCTTTAGAGCAGTTTTGCATTCAAATAATTTTCTTGTCTTTAAAATATGTCTCAAAATGAATGCTCTCAAGAAGTAAAGACTTCTTAGATCATTTCTCTAACACAAACCAAAAAGTGGAGGAGCAGCAGCCAAAGAAAAGTTCTGAATTAGATCTTTTCCAAGGTAACTATAATAAAATGATATGAATACTAAGAAATATTTAATGTATATGCTGACTTCTTCCTTAGAGTAAGGCAATTGTTTATCAAACTTTATTCTTAGTTTTTCGGTCATTTGAAGTTCATTTGAAATTCTTTGAAAATCATAAGGTCATATTTCATTCATTAGCTGTTAACGTCCCAGACCAAAGTCCATGTGAAATCAAATCAGGCGCCAGTGTAAACACAGGATGTCAGGTATCTCAAAGAGCTGTAAAAATAAAGATGAAAGCATTTTGCTTTTATCATTAACAAAGTTCTTTGTGTAGGGAATTCTTTCCACTCAAGGCAAATGGGCTTTTTCCTGGTGGGGGCAGAAGCGGAAGAGTGGCCACTGCTGCCTTGGGGCGGGCGCTCTGTCCTGCCTCACGGCTAGCGAGCAGCTCTCTTCTGGGCCACCCACGCTGGCTTCCATATTGCCCATTGGTGTCTGTTGGGGTGTAAGGGAGAGACTAGCCTGTGTACATAAGGAATTATTGGCTCCGAGGTGGGAAGGATACTGGCACAGCTCATACCACCAAAAAAGGAGCTACAAGAACCGAGGCCTCGGGTTCTGACCCCAGAGATTCACCATTACCAGGATGTTCTCTCTCATCAGTTTCTTTCAGCGTCTGTGTGTGCATGAGCAGGGGGCTTCCTATGAGGTGAATGTGGCCACCTCAGCAAAAAGAAAGACCTTCTTTATCCTGGAGTCCGTACAGCAACCCCAGGGAAGGACTCTGGTTGGGTCCCTTTGGGCCACGTGCCCACACTGCAGCAGAGAACGGGGTGGATGGAAAGCTGGCCGGGAAGGTGGTGGTCCACAGCACTCTTCTGCCTCCCAGGCTGGAGTGACTTTGACAGCCTCAAGCTGGATGGATGACACAGGAACACGTTCTGTGAGCAAGCAGCGGCGGCACCTCTCTGCATGTTCCAAAACCTCTGACCCTTCCAAGTGGCACTGGAGCTCCACGGAAGCTCGCGGTGTCTTCCTAACCCCCCCAGCACGAGACACAGGAAGAGAAATCCTGAATGTCCATTCCATGTGTGTACTGCTTTAGAAACCATATTTTTTAGCTACTCTGCCCCTCTGGCCATTATAACACTGTCCAAGACAACACAGCATCTTAGGATTGCTGGGATAATCCTGTTTTGTTCTGTTTTTAAGACACTGACAGTGAAGAATGAAGATAAGGTGGTAGGACACCCTCAATTCAACCAACTTGTCCCTGAGTCTCATGTATTTGAAGTGGGTCACCCATTTTTAGTAAATGAGAATGATTCTCAAAAGTTAATAGATTTTGTCAAGGGTGGCGTTAAATCTGTATCCCAATCTTGGAATAATTTCCCCCAATTTTATAGTGAAAATATTAGAAGAAAGTGAGCATATGAATAAGCCTGGCAATGTAGCATGGAAATCTCTTTTTGTTGACATAAATATTCAAAATGTAGTGCTAAGTGGAAAAGTGAGCTGCGCACATCTATGTGTGTGTATGCAAACACATGTATGTTTAGAGAAGAAAACAGTAAAATATGCCAAATTTTAACAGTGGCATCTCTGCGAGTTGAGATAATGGGTGGGCTTTGTTTTTACCAGGTTTTCTACATTGAACATGTATTATGTTTGCAAGTGAAGGGAATTTTATTTGGGAAATACACAAATCTTCGACCACAAGTCTACTCGTACTTTTGCAGATAATGGGCGTGTTATACAGTGTGAAAAGAATAAAGCAAGACATTCCAGCTCCAGTTTGAGGCCGGCCACTCCCTGACCTTGGACAAATCCTGCCTCTTTCTGGGCCGGAGTCGACCTCTATAGAATGAGGGCAGCAGTCGCTAATCTCCAGGGACTGCCTGGGCTTCAGACTCCTACTTTGGAAGTCATAAGAACATTGCAATTTGATTTGTTGGAAAAGCTACTATTTCATGTGGCGTGAAGTTGGGGAGGCAAAATCATTGCTGAAGATGTGTTTATTGAGAGTCACATGGTAAAAAAGAAAATAAAAGTGTTTCCTCTGAAATCTTTTTTTAGAGTTACCATGTTAGGTATTTTGTCATCTTCTGATATTCGAAATTTACACTTGGTGGCTGTTTACTTATTAATACTTATATAAAAGTGAATTACTATGAATATCTTATTCTGAATAATACCTGATGTTTATTAGGAAAATTCTCATTGAGTATGTGAGAGTTGGCTTGTATCGGCTGGTATACAATGAGGAATTTATTGCAAAATTTCCCTTTGGCCCTGGTGCTGGTGAGGAAGGGAAGATCCAGGCAGCCAAGTGCTGCCAGGCACCCCCGCCTGCCCGTTTTCATTCCGTTAACGCTGAGAGGTCACTCCGGAGTGAATGCATTCTTTATGCCTGTGGGAAAGGGAGCAGGAGCCAGGCTTGAGAAAGGAACCCAGCCTGGCAGTCCCGTCAGCCCTCCCTGCAACCAAAAGGCTATGTCCTCTTTGACCAGCCTCCCAGGGCCGGGGAGAACATACTATTCTCAAATCTTGGACCCGTCTAAGAGATCTGTCAGCGGCCACTGCTTGTATTAAATTCAATACATTTGGTAAATGAGAATAACAAGGAAAAGGATTTGAGATCTGATATTTGCATTTGATGAATGCACGGGGGCCAATGGAAGATGTCACCACCACCAAGCTATGTCTGATTTGGGACCATGTAGGTGGCTTTTTGTTGAGGGAGAACCCACTGTAGACTTGTTCATTCCCTTAAACTTGCCCAGGGACGCCAGTAACTCAGCCAAGACAAAGATGAGCTGCCAGCACTCTCCTTTCTGTGCAACGTGCTGAGGGCTGCATCCTCCTGTATGACAGTGTCGTCAACAGAGGTTACATTCCACAACAGCCTGCAAATCCAATTTCATAAAGCTGTTTGTTTACTTTGTGTATTTGCCATGAAGAACAGTAGAAAATACTTTTGTATTTTATATACTACAGTTCAACAAACCTATGGGTTGACACATGTTTGTAAGACTAGCCTGGGCATCTGATTTCTATGGTTTTTTTCTAAGAGTTTTATAATTTTAACTCTTACATTTAGGAAAATGTAATCCTAGTTCCAACTGACAGATAAATGAATTTTCAGCAAATGCACTCTTCATAAACTGGAAAATTACTGTGTTTTTCATTTATCTTTTAAATTTTTTATTTATCTTTATTTCTCCGTGTTCAGTTTTTTGTCCTGAGAGTCTGATATTCGACACATGTCATGCTGTCAGTGGTAAGGAAGCCCTTGTAGGCAAATCTCAAGAGTCTGAACGTCCACATGTTGAGCTGCTCCTGCTCTCTCCCTGAGCCTTCCTTTTACTGACTTAATTCTCTTATTTTGTCTTAAGTTTGCTTGGCAAAGGCCATGTCCTCTCCACTCTGACCAGCAGCCCTCAGTGAACAGCTCATAGCAGAACCCTCCACAGCTCCTCAGACAGTCTGCGGAACGGGCTGGTCAGGTTGCTCAGCTTTCCCGCCGAGTCAGGCGGAAGCAGTTTGTAGCAGAACCAGGAGAGGGGTCTGCGTGACCCAGGAAGCCACTCCAGGCCTACTTTCAATAGAAACTCGGCCTGAATTATCTGTGACTCTTCTGTGCAGCCTATTCCCGCGAGAAATGGGTGTGAGGCGGCCACCAAAGTACCTTTTCTGCTGTTTAGACCCCAAGTAAAAGCAAGAAGAAAAGTGGGAGCTTTAATGCATTTCTACCCTGCTTTGCTCCCTGAACCAGGCTCTCAATAGGTCTGTCTCTCAGAGGCGTCACTGAGGGCCCAGCCATGTGCACGCCACCCTGACGATGAGGACAGTGACGTGCCCAGAAGCTACAGAGTGCTGAGAAACAGAGAGGGGAGCTCCTGTCTCCCCGGGGGGAGGAGGGAGTGTGAAGGGTGGCTCTGACCGTCCTTGAAGATGAGCGGGAATTTGAAGAGAGGCAGGGAGAGGACGCTCCAGGCCAAGGACAGGACGTGCTGGAGCAGAGGGACAGGAGAACACCCATCTTTTTAACTCCCGGTTGCCAATCTCTTGTGTTTCAGAGGAAAGCCAGCCGGCCTTTAAAAGGTGATGACAGGAACAAAGTCACCAGCAGGAGTGTTGGATTGGACACGACCACGTCGCAACCGCCAGAGAGCAGAAACCCACCTGAGGAGGGCCTCCTCTCCGCTTCCAGAGAGTGCTGGACGGGGGAGCGGGGGCCGGCCCAGTACAGCAGCTTCTCCGGGGTCAGCAGCAGCGACAGCGTCCTGCGGGAACTGGACGAGGGACACTTTGACCAGGAAGACGGAGTAACTCAGGTCACTTGCATGTGAGCGATGACATAACGCAACGAAAGGCCCTGTAAATAATTATTAAAATAATTGCCGACGGACTTTATTGTTATTACTTTATCTGCATTTATGTAATACTTTGAATTCTTCCAGACTCAGGCTTTCCTCTAATCTCCGTGAACTTTGGCCCAACCTCCCAGACAAGGAAGAATAACCAACGTATTTGGAAATTTAGAATCATGTTTACACTTCTCCCAACTAAAACATCTGTTTAAACAGATGGCTCATTAGGTTATTAACCAATAATCTACTTCAGTTTCTCCTGAATAGACAAGGTACACTTTTCTTAGAATTCCTGAAGACTAAATATGTCAGGCAGCATTGTGCCTAGTTAGGAAACCCTCAGGAATTAGTCTTACTTAAGCTGAAAAGTAGTCTCTCTCTCTCTCTCACACACATGTCAAGGGCTAATTCATGAAACACGTATTTCCTGAATATAACAATTAATTCAAATTTTGTCTTTAACTATGGCATGTGTATACAAAGCAAGCCTCTATTTGTTAAAATATTCTTTGAAAAGAAATTCTTTCTGTCTGTCTTTGCTTTCATAGGGTCGCCGCGCCACCAACCCTGTACTGAGTCCCGAGCTTAAACTTCGCTGCCTCTAATAGCCCAGACACAGAGCAAGCGAAGCAGCATCTCTTAAAATTCCACACGAAGAGAACCCACAATGTCAACATTTAAAAACCTTAGGAGACAGAAAGAATTAATTTTCTTTCTTTTAAGTTGCAAATAGTATGAAAAGGGAAAACATGAACTTTAAATGGAAACTGAAATCTTTTATATCTGTCTAGATTTGAATTATGCTTTTATTTTGATTGCTAACTCAGGAGGAATGTGGAAACCCAGCGTGTTCAGTCCTGCAGGACTAGACAAGAGCTCGCAGCACACGCGCTGAGCACGGGGCCCGTCTGCTCCATCTCGGCTTTCCTCACTCTGCTAAGTGGGGTGCCTTTGCCTTGCCAGCCTTTAACAGGAAAGAGCAAAATTCTACAAAATAGAGGGTTTTCATTTATGTATGAAAGGCTTACTTTGAAATGTGGGAGCCTTCAGGTGAATTACATACAATGACTTTGCCATTGATGAGTTCAGCCTGTTACATATTTCTATTAGCATTGATATTGACATTGTAAGATCATTCACATAATAAAATGCCATTTGTTATTGGGCTATCATTTTATTGAACACAGATGCTCATAATCCATTTCATACGTATGACAGATATATGTTACACAGTATCAAATATATAGTGTAACAAGACTCATCCAATCTCCATGAATTGTTGATAAGATTAACATGGGGGGCCAGCCCAGTGGCGTAGTGGTTAAGTTCATGGGCTCCACTTCACAGGCCCGGCGTTCAGATCCTGGGTGCAGACCTACACACCTCTCATCATGCCATGCTGTGGCAGCATACCACATACAAAATAGAGGAAGATTGGCACAGATGTTAGCTCAGGGCCAATCTTCCTCACCAAAAAAAAAAAAGATTAACATGCAATTATCCACTTCTATCATGCAGAAGCATTGCCTTTATAAGTGTAGAGGAATTTAAGAATATTCTGCTCAGTATTCTTCTGTGGAAACAGCTATCAACAATATTTGCAGAAATGTTTTTTGTATTAATTTTTAGATGAACCTGAGTTGCATATTCAGGGGTTGGTGAATTTGTGGTAAAAACAAGCATTGCTTCTGGAGCCCACAAAATGCCATGAATTATGAAACACAGGGAATGTACTCTGAAAGATCAGATAGTTTTTCCCAATGCCAAGATCAACAACAGGTAGAGACACTGTCAGCACAGAGAGGAGATTTGAAGTATTAAAAACAGAGATGGAAATTTCTATTTGACTAAAGAAAAGCTCAGGAACATATCAATCACCTTTAATGTTTTTTAAATTTGCGTAAGCATACTTTCGTTTTACAGGTTGCTTTTAATCTGCATTATTTCTTCTTCTTAAAAAAAGCTTTTTAGGGGCCGGCCCTGTGGCTGAGTGGTTAAGTTCACTAAAAATATACAACTATGTACCAGGGGCCTTTGGGAGAAAAAGGAAAAATAAAATCTTTAAAAAAAAAAACAAAACTTCTTATTAGCATAAACTTAGCAGTCATATCCTCAAAACCTATTTCATAAGCACTTATTACAACAATTACGCTTAAGTTACATGGTAAATTTGTATTATAGTGAATAAATAATGACCAAGTGGTTCTAGAGCATTTTAAATATTTTATTTTTTATTTTTCATTTCTCCCCCCTAAGCCCCCGGGTTCACAGTTGTATATTTTTAGTTGTGGGTCCTTCTAGTTGTGGCATGTGGGATGCTGCCTCAGCATGGCTTGATGAGCGGGGCCATGTCCGTGCCCAGGATCCGAACCAACGAAACCCTGGGCCACGGAAGCAGAGCTCGAACTTAACCACTCGGCCACCGGGCCGGCCGCTAGAGCATTTTAAATATATATATAAGTAGTTCTGAGTCTATTCTTAAAAAAAAAAAATGTAACCAAACCCGGACTCCGTATGCTTAAGGAGTTAAATGTGACTAACCTTGTGATGCCCGGCCAGGTGTATATCTAGCTCTTTTCATAATGCTGTGTGATGCCTTAGGGACTCCGGCATGGGAATTTTTAACACCTATCAAGTTATGATGAAGAAGTCTCATGATCGTGCATGTGGGTGTGAAGTTCTGCCGTTCCCCTTGGATGGCACGTCCGTCTTAGGTTTCAGTAACCACTTGTTAGTTCCATCCCCCTTGGATGGAATGGGGCCCTGTTTTCTTTCACCAACGACACTGAACACCTAATCTCCGGAGGAATCACCACCAAGCCAGGAGCAGCTCTATCAGTGTCGATACCATTCTCTTCAGCAAAAGATCAACGGAAAGGTCCTTCTCCTCAAGAGACTCTCGGGCTCGCAGGCATCTCCAGGCGCCACAGAGCAGGAGGCAGAAGCAGGGTCCGTCCAAAGGACAGCTATCGCCAGATCATCTGTTTAGTCAGGAGCGGGTGTTTGCACATCTGAATGTAAATGTTCCAGATGCGTTTCCATTTCGTTCATCCTGGAGGAGCTGAGGAGCTCTCTCATTTTCCTAGCACTTCCTCACCCCTGGATTCCTCACGGCCATTCCCCCTGGGCTAGAAGGACTGTGGCTCCTTCAGCATAAGGCGCAAAAAGCTTTCCTTCTCCCCACAACTCAGGGCCCCAGGGTCCCCGTACTGTGGAAAGACTAAAGCTCTGTGAGAACTCAAAAGGGGAGGTGCTAACCGTGAGGGGAGTCTGTAACAAAGCATGTTAAATCAAAATCTACTGGTGGATAAAACTAGCGAAATGCCGACCATCAGAACTTACAGCACATCCTTCTAAGTCATATTTGCTGTGGCAACTTATCATACCTCGAGAGTGAACTTCTCTTGTGCGATAGCCCAAAGTTTATAGAGCCAGCTTTGACAGCTGATTAAGTTCTAAGACGGCATTTGAGGTGAAAAATTAGGCAAAAGTCTAAACTATAAGCTTTGTTTATGGTGGGACTCACAAACTTTTCGTAGAGACAATTCCAAAAACAAATTGCAAAATTGCGTTGATCATTAAAATCATTGTATGTGTAAGTATCTAGGTGATTCTGTGCAGGTTTACATCAGCCAGCATTCTTAGCTACAAGCAACAGAAGCCGACCTTGGCTCATTCAGCAGTAAAGGAGTTTATGTCATAAGACATCTAGAATTGGGGCCAGCTCGGTGGCATAGTGCTTAAGTTCATGCACTCTGCTTCAGCGGCCTGGGGTTCACAGGTTTGAATTCTGGGCATGGAACTACACCTCACTCATCAAGCCATGCTGTGGCAGTGTCCCACATACAAAATAGAGCAAGATTGGCACAGACGTTAGCTCAGGACCAATCTTCCTCAGCAACAACAACAAAAAAGAAGACGAAGAAGTCCATCCAACATAGTTTAAGAAATAAAAAAGCAAGCCACAGACTGGGAGAGTATGTTTGCAAAACACATACCTGACAAGGGATTCATATCAAGAATATATAAATGATTCCTATAAATCAATAATAAAAAGACCCAGCATCCTATTATAAAGGGGCAAAAGGCTTGGACAGACACTTCATGAAAGAAAATATACAGACTTTTTCTTCCAGAAAGACGGAGTAGATGCCTCCCGTGAAATATAACTAAAAACCCTGAACATTATATATGAAACAAACATAACATGGCCAGTCGTGAGTTCCTTGATTTTATTTTTGCCTTGTATATCTCACACTTGAGAGCTGAAGAAGCTAGTAATCTAAAGAGAAAAGAAGAAACTAGTAATCTAGAAATGCCAGTGTTGCATATCACAAACCCTAAGAAAAGCCTAGCGAGACAGCAATATTTAGACAATAACTGCAATACTCCAGCCAAACGCCACAGAAAAACCTGTGACCTTACCCCCTACACCAGCACAGACCAAGTGGGAAGCCTATATTTCTGCCCTCAGGAGGCTGTACCAAGGGCCCCAACACCCTGGCCAGCGTGGTGTCAGGACAGGCAGGTAGGGGACTGGGAATTTCATCCCCACTGGCCAGTAAGAGCCCCCAACTCTCCCCCCGGTGTTAGTGGAGATCATGGAGGACGCCTGGACTTCCCCCCCATCCAGCAGGAAGGAGGCATCTCCCTCCCTCCCCACCGGGGCTGTCAGAGGAGGGTTAATGGGGAGTCAGGACTTCCACCACGGCCCGCTGACCCAGAGGCCACGCCCACCAAGGTGTCAGTGGGGACCACCTAGGGAACTGGAACTCCCACTCTTGCCCAGCAGTAGCAAAGAACAGCCCCCTAAGGTGTCAACAGAGGTCAAAAAGGAACCTGGGCTGCTGCTTCCACCTGGCAGTACCTAGGCAGTACCCCGATTCCCCCACCGGAGTAGCATCAGAAAAAGCCAACGAACACCGAAGGAATAAACAAGATCCAGAGTCTCATAACATAATGTGAAAATGCCTGGATTTCCAAAGAAAATTATTCGTCAAACCAAGAACCAGAAGATCCCACACTAAATGAAAAAGATAATAAATAGATGCCAACACTGAGAGAGACATTAGAATTATCTTTAATACATTTTAGAGCGCTGTGATGAAAATGCTTCAACAAGTAATTATGAATGTGCTTGAAACAAATGAAAAATGAGAAAGCATCAGTAAAGAATTGGAAGACACAAAGAAGAACCAAGCAGAAATTTTAGAATTGAGAAATACAATAACCAAAATAAAAAGCTCGGTGGATGGGCTCCACAGCAGAATGGAGGAGACAAAAGAAAGAATATCTACAAGCTGAAATACAGCACAATATAAATTACCCAATCTGAATAACAGAGAGAAAATAAGACAACAAACAAAAGGACTTTGGACTATACCAAAATAAAAGATCTAATACTCATGTCATTAGAGTTATGGTGGAAGGATGGGAGAAAGAGAATGGGACTGAAAAAGTGCTTGCAGAAATAATAGCTGAAAACTTCCCAAATTTGGTAAGAGATATAAACTTACAGATTCAAGAAGGTGGCACTAATTTATAGTGATGAAAATCAGAATAGTGGGTACCAGTGGGTGCGGGTGGGGGGTTGATCGTTGTCTTTGTCCGTTCCAGCTGCTGTGACAGAATACCATAGACCTGGTGTCTGATAAAAACAGAAATTTATTTCTCATACTTCTGAAGACTGGAAGTCCAAGATCAAGGCACCTGTAGATTCCGTGTCCCGTGAGAGCTGCTTCCTGGTTCATAGACAGCAGTCTTCTTGCTGACTTCACATGGTGGAGGGGCAAGGGAGCGCTCGGGGCCTCTTTTCTATGGACGTCATCCCATTCATGAGGGCTCCAGCCTCATGACTAATAACCTACCAAAGGCCCCACCTCCTAATACCATCACATTAGGGATTAGAATTTCAACATATGAATTTGGGGGTTCACATTCAGTCTACGGCATCTATAAAGGCACAAAGGGGGACTTCCTGGGGTGATAGAAATGTTCCATATCTTTGCTTGGTTGAAAGTAACACAAGTGTATACACCTGTCAAAACTCATTGAACTGTACATTTAAGATAGGTACATTTTGGGGCGGCCTGGTGGCCAGCAGTTAAGTTTGCACGTTCTGCTTCGGCGTCCCGGTGTTCCCTGGTTTGCATCCTGGGTGTGA